TTTAACTACTTCGGCATGCGTTATACAGGTATTTCGTAGGACAGCACATTTTATGACATAACAATACAGTAACCACAATGACGCCAATTAATTGATTCACTATATTATATGTCAAAGAAGGTTTAAAATGTCGGCGTGTAATCTCGAAAAATGTAAGTGATCAAAACCCATAGCGAACCCAACCCAAACCGACAGGAGGTTAATCACAAAAGTCTGGTGTGACTGTACCTAACAAATGAAATGAAACCCTGCAAATTAGGGCTGTTAACATAACCCGGGTCGATCAAACAGCGGAAAAATACGATAGTGAGGATCCATAGTTGGCTTTACCTTGAGTTGCAGCTCGTAGTAACAATTCGTCATCCAACTCCTAGAGACAGATATATGCATTATTTAAATTACACTGTACACCACTACACCGCAAATGCTAGGTAAATAATTATTAACATTCTTGCTAGCAAGAAACATGAGTGTCTTAAGTGTATATATTAATACTGAAACTAGTTGCAGAATTAAAATGTAGACATTCTAAGGCCCGGTTCAGACGCCCATCTTTTCACGAGGCGAACCTAATACAATGAATTAAGTACATGAACAGTTCGACGTCTGAACCAATTCAGGCGGTCTAAATTGTTTGGATCGACCTTAATTCGAATTAGGAACTCGGCTCACGAAAAGTTCGGCGTCCCAACCGGACCTAATCATTACTAATTTTGATCTCTTAAATTGTTTTGACTAAAATTATGAGTGTTCTGATCTGTCAAGGAAAAAAATAAAAACGAAAAAAGAATAAGAAAAGAGGATGACCCACTAGGATTATCGTTAGTCAGTCAGAGATACTCGAGGAATAGATATTAATTTGTATTACTATGAAGTATGTTTACCATTTTCTCTCTTTCTTCTGCATCAATATACACTTCTTCAGGATCTTAAGAAAACAAAAAATGAAATATTTTAATGGCTTGGACCGGCTGAGGTTATGTACACATTACTGAAATAGGACTGTTCAACCAGTAAACCATCTTCAGTCTCGACCAACCAAACAAGCACCAACAACAAACTATGAAACACCAACAACAAACTAAGAAACTAAAGAAACAACAAACTGTGAAACTAAGCAAAGCGTTACCTTCGCTTTCCTTTATGTCATTTTCCTCTGAAGTTCGAGCAGAACCCTGTAGGTTAACAACGATATATATTTCGAACTTCAATAATTTTGCACATAATAAGCCTAATGAACAAGCTAACTCTGATATAAGGGTTGTGTTTTCCAGAATTTGGTACATCTGACATACTGTACAAAAATTGTTCTTCACTTTTGAAGTATTAATCAATATTTTCTTTTACTGAAAAGATAAAATCAATAAAATAGGTAATTTATTCCCAAACTCTACCATTCTGGCTGGAATTCGAATTTGAAAATGTCAGGTTTTGAGGAGAGGGGAAAATCGCAAAATGGCATTGGAGCTCAAGGCTTTGAATTCCGGCCACAATCAGTGATGGGAGGCGAATGTTCTCACCACTGCACCACCCATACTCCCAGTACAATACCACTGTACAGAGAATATTATACAAAATAATATCACCTCTGCCTCTCCTATAGGCCTCCTCGGGGTTCTTGCACTTGACGCTTTAGTTGAAAAAAAAAATATCTTGATTAAAACATATCATATACAAAACTATGATGACATGTTGGATTATTAAAATCCAACAAATTTATTGATTTGCATCTGTTGCAGTTAGATTCCTATTTCAGTTAATTTTGGTTTCAAATTCATTAGAATACACGGTCACATCCGAAATCCATGGAAAATGAAAATTAACTGAAATAAGAAATCAGTTAGTAAAACATGTCAGTTCTTATTTATGTTTAAACCTACATTGAAAGTGGTTTAATAGCCCTGTATGCTGCTCAGTTGCATGTAATAACAACAGAAAAAAAATCAAAACAGCTCTTTTCACACAATGGTTAATGTTCATAACATATAGCATTAACGGTGATTCAATATAACTACATGTCATATAACCAAAAAAATAAAATTTATTGATAATGTAATCTGTGGATCTCAATTTATATAGGGTGGGTATATGTGTAGGCTACCTTTTGATCAAAGGGGCAAGATGTGAATGGTACTTCAAGTAGCATTGTGTCAACTTATTACCTTCAGTTCCCTGATCAACCTCTAATTCACTACATGTGATTACAGAAACCTATGGAAGAAAAGCATACAATGTAAGTACTCAGGTAAGCAAGGAGCAGGAATAAATGAAAGTCGATGACATGGTAACAATCAGAAATACTAAAGTTATGATCACCTCATGATCCACTGGCATAGTTCTCTGCATTGTAGTGTCTAACATTATTAAAAAAAAAAAAAAAAACAATTGTCGGTATGAAAACACAATCCATTCCACAGCCCACTCCCAAATGACTATTTAATAGTCATGAAATGCCTAATAACATAGCTAATTATTGAAACATATGATGAAATCAAGAATGTAAGTAAAAGCGTGTGTGTCATTCAAAAAAATGAAAGGGCTTCCATTATTAGATATAGTATGTTACAGAATTTGTAGTTTAGAATTAATTATCCTCCCCAATAAATTTGCCTTTTTTATGGCGTGAATACATGTTCTCAGGGAATGTTTACTAACTAAACTTGTCTTGTCAAAGTCTATATAGTTGTAGCCTTGTGAGAGGTAAATACATGGTATAATAAATAGTCTAGTAATCTGTCGGTATGCGCAGGCTATAACTACAGTCAGGGATTGTCATTTACACTACAGTCTTGTAAAAGTTGGATTGATTTATTGACCTCACCAGCACAGTGTTCAAACAAGCCAGGAATTAGAAATAATTAAAACCCTTTTTGAAAGAAAATTCAGAATTCCATTGCAGAGAGTGACATACATGTAATGCACTGAGGATATTTCAAAAGCTTAAGGCAATTTCACCTAAACTTACTGGAAGTCTTGTCTTCAGATGAACATCCAGAACCACCCTCTTGTGGATCACTTCCAGCAACTGTACTGAATTTTGTTATCAGCGTCTGGTTTCCTTAAAGTATAATATTTAAATTAAATGTTTTCACAGAATTGAATGCGAAGTAACTTTGCATATTTTATAACATAACTTTTTAATGGCAACCTGCCAACAATAGACTTAATTAACGGGAGGGATGAGTCAATTAAACAGGTTACAAACTCGCACGCTTATAAAAAATTGAGGCAAGGAAAAATAACATATATTGCCGGTAAGCATATAGTTGGAGTATTTTGTGCCACAGTCTATTAGTCTCTCTTGACTCTTTTAAAGTACAGTTGAAGACTTATCTTTTTAAGGAAGCTTTTAATTTTTAATTTCTCTTATTCTTATTACTATTATTATTTCTGTCCATTTATTGTATATATATATATTTATTTTCTTGTACATATTGTAAGGCACTTTAGAATATTTTAATAGTTAAAGCACTATATTAAATGTGATAAATTATTTATTATTATTATTATTAGTCTCACTTGCGGCTGATTTGGGATGATTTGGTGATATCTGACTGAATTTACAAAAACATGGCTTCAGTGAGTCACTACAGGTCACCTCGTTATTACGGCCACTTTTTTTTGGCTGCCTGGTAAAAACCACCCTAACATTTTCTTGCACATTACTCATCAAAATGATACCACAGGTGGGTGTCAATTCAGTTAATTGGTTTGACAGAATTTTTTCAGTTTAAATGATCTGTCTAGTACAATGTACTGACTATTCAGTTACCTGAAAACTGAGAAGCATTCCAATCATAACCCCTTACCTTGGCTAGAAGTTTCAGACCTCTTCAAGTCATCAAAGGCTGCAATGTTTGAAGATTAATAGATGGTCAACTTTTTATGATTTTAAAATTAACAATCTAACTACTTTAGGGGGCCAGGAGGTTCAGCGCCATGAACCCAGTGAGACCAACTCCTAATCGGACACGGGCATGCTCTTATCTTAAATAACTGAGTTTATATCAACAGTACTGTTGTAAGCAAACAGGAAGTTGAAACAGGATCCTATGTGCACCTGAACGAATCCTGTTCAAAGGGAACAGACAGCAAATTGTAGTTGCTCAAAAAAAACAAAATGTCTTAGCTGTTCACCGGTAGGATGCCTAAAATAATCTTGTGCAATTGCACATTATTGGTTTCTTTACATGCTGTGTAGTTGATGTTTCCATAAGAAGTCTAATAGCGTTTTGTGTTTTGCACTATTACTAAACATGGGTTTTGTCACCTTACACCACCCCGAGTGACTCAGGCAAACTTTGCATTCTGCTCAAAGGCTTTGTATCAGCAGCATGCATTTCCAACAAGGAAATTGTTCATAAAATTTGCAGTGAGCCCTTTTATATTTAGTTGAGCTTTATTCTAATATACAAAAGGAGCATTACTGCTATAGGGAGAAAAACCTGGCCCAAGGAACTTAAATAAACGGTTAAAATCTGAAAATAAAGTGTAAGAACTCAAAAAAAAAAAAAAAAAAAAAAAAAAAAAAAAACAAAGAAGTGACCTTTGCCTATAAAATTTAACCAAATGCACTGTTTTATGATCAGCTTTGATTCCCTGCTCTCCATACCTTTGTTAGTAAAATGCCGTAACATAATTTTACACACAGTAATTAAACACAGCTCAAGAAATAAAATCAATCATCTGTACAGTTTTTCCATGTTTAACATTGTCTTGGCATGCGTTGATTATTTTCAGGATACATGTTATTGAAACCAAGCTGGAATTTGTTTCCATTGACGATAAAAATCTTCAAAGATCTACAAAAAAATTTGTTGGCAAATGTGATTTTCCCATACAACTCTTATACTGGTCAGGTTTCAATGTCTGAGTCAAAAAGGACCAGAAATTTTGTGACGGCATTAGTGCAAAGCACTATTACAACAGGTACACGTGTTAACAAAAAAAACTGACCTTTCTGTACTTTCTGTAGCAAATCATTGGAAAAAACACTTTTCTTAACATGGCAGCATGTCAATGTTTTTGTGTGTCCAGCTTCCACAGTCAGGTTCATTTTTCGGTTGGTGCAGCCATTCTTGGACTGCTTCACCCATGCACGAAACTTTGCACCTGCCGGCGTCACCAGGTAGTCCAATGAATCTCAATGCTTCTGGCACATTAAATGCAACACAATCCCGCACCCCACAAGCTCTGGGTACAACGTGTTGTACAAAGAAACCAGAAGCCTGTAAAACAAATGGTTTCAAGGAAAAATCAATCATTATTAAAACAGTGATAGTGTTTGTGTATGTACAGTAAGTACAATAATGCTACAACAAGAATAATTCAAGCAGGGTTGCTAAATTTTCTTTGTCAAATGTTTCAATCACATGTAATTAAACCATGTTGAAATTCATTTCAGTACTCAGTCTGTTGTAACACAAAAAAAAATTTAACCTTCGTTGGAAATTTAACTGGAAATTACAATGTACATTAATTCATTATTATTGCTAACTTAAAATAATAGTACTGCATCTTACCAAAGTGTAAAGGTCAAGGTCACATCTGTGGCTAACCTGGTTTTTGTTTTAAATTAAAAACCCCTGCTTTATTATCAAAACTTATTAATTTTTTTACCTTTCGTGGATCTTCTGCTACACGTTCCAAGAGATGTGTTAATGTCGAGATCATTTCTTGGCCATTACCCTCGACACTGTCACTTGTACCGGCTTCTTGCATTAATCTCTTATATACCGGTAGCACAACGTCTTCAAGCCATCCTTGAAATTGCGGAAAGTACTTGTCCTTTAAGTCAAGTACCTCCAGAAGCTACAAAAGAAAAAAAGGTAGATGTCTTGGCTAGATGTACTACATGAACATGCAATAAAGACATGATTATCATATCAATAATCAAATGGAGTTGTGTAATGACCCGTACGAAACGAGCAGCGCTGCTGCAGCGCTGCAGAATGACTTCAAGAAGCGCTACAAAAGAGCTGCAAAAGGGCTGGCTGCAGCAGTAGCAAAAAATGGCTGTTTCGCGCTGCAGGGAAAGCCCTTTGACAGCGATAAACAGCGCTGTTGCAGCGGTGCAGAAAATTCCCGAATCACGATCTGCGCTGCAAAGTTGCTGCAAAGTGGCTTCGAATTTTAAGACAAAGAATGTTGTTCCCGGTAATGTCCTACCACTCGTTAGTACAAAAAAAAGAAATGCAGACTTCAATAATACAATAACCACGAAACATGGTAGAGAAGTTGACAAGGCCTTAGGAGGAGTAAAAACCACTAGAAAGTCACAATGGAACTGATACTTTATTAGTATCCACGCGTACACGTTACAAAAGCAAGTGACATAACAAATCTGCAACAGTCTCGCTTTGTAAATATTGAGCAGTCATGGTCACTCATCTAAATGTAAGAACTGCCATTAACATGCAGACATTGAAGTTTATCTTTTTAAAAATAAAGAGAATAACAGCGACTGTTCTACATAAAGTTTACACCGGACAACAGCCAAATGATATTTTGATTCGTTGCAACACGTTAAGCCTGACATCGCTCACCTTAACGTTTTGTCCATGATCGACGATCTGCTACACTTTTTCGTGAAAGAAATCAACCAAATCTTACTTTGGTCCTCGTTAAATTTTACAATGGACTAAGGAACGTACATTATCGGTGAACGTTTGAATCTTGTAAATGCATTCGTACCCCAGCGAAGATTCTGGCATCTGTGTTGCTTGCTCCGGTTCGATTCGTCGGCACTTCGCGTAGAATTCACCGTACATTGCCGTTGTTTACAAATACCTTTGAGCTGTTCCATCCAAAACATCAACAGAACTTCCATCTCGAAACAGAACTAGATGCAAAACACTTACAAATTTGTATGAATGTTTGCGCCTTTCATTCAACGGTCACAAATGTTTGTCTAGAGATGTAATGGGATCTTATGCAAAAGTGCCGACCAATTAGATTACAGCCTAGAATGTCACCAGGGAATTAACGATAACATTCCCACACTCGCCAGTCACGGAATGAAATTTATTGAAAGCATAGAATTTGAAGGTTTATTCAACAAGTGATCTTCCTTGCGCACAAGCTTACTCACATTTCTTAGAGGTACAGTCAAAGTTTTCTCGTTATAAAAGCCGTAATCTGTGGCAAGGCTTTTCTGGCGATTCATGTTATCTCAAGAACGTTGTGCTATCAGATCGAGCGCAGCTGAATTGTAGCGTTACTGCAGCTACTTCGCAGCTTTTGAAAGTCGGCAACTGCGCTGCAAAACCGCTGCCAAGAGCTTCAAAGGCTGCACAGCGCTTTTGCATCCCGCTGCAACTTGAATTAAGCTGCTGTTTGGCTTCTAAAACGCTGCTAAACAGCTGTAATTTAGCTGTACAGCTATTTTGAAGCGATTTTGTGGCGCTGTACAGCGCTGCCAGTTTCGTACGGGGAACACACCACTAAAAATAATGTGATACGTAACTATGTACATATTTATGTTTTAGATATTTTTTATCCCGGGTAATTTTTATTTTCATTTGTTTCAACTTCATACGTGCACATTACCATACCCAAAAAGACAGAAACATTAATAACAGAAAAAAACATAGAAATTATTTGGAAGTGTAGTTATTAAAACCCAATCATCTGTATTTGTATCAAAGGGTCTGTTTACATAATGGCAGGGGGCCCCAGGTAGGCAAGGCAAACCATGGAGCTAGGGTCACCTCACCTATAATGTAAACGCCATTATATTCATATGAGTAGTTATGACGGCAGGCAGGTTACCTCTGCTCACCTTCCTGGGGTCCTCTACGTCCATGTAAACAGACCCTAAGTGTCTCAGTACAATGAACATTATTTTACCTTGCAAACTGTAAAGATAAGGAGAAAGTAATTCTCCTGGGAACGACTGTCCATCTCTTTAGGAATGATCTCTTCAATGTCTTTCGACACTTCATCTTCTATAAGGCCATCAAATATGTTGTGAAGTTTTAGCAAAACCCCACAGCTGTTGATGGATTGTTCCATTTTTGCCTCAAGGCTCTGTTTGAGTTTCATCCTCTCTACTAACGTATCTCCCAAAGTTATCTCTTCAAAAGGGATTACTAGTACTCTGGAGAAGATCCTGGTAGAAAAGATAACAAACAAGACTCACTGATTGCTGCAACTACATGAAAATTCAACCAGCGCTTTACCATTTCTATTTTTTGGATTTGCATAAATTTGTTACAATATAACTGTACATGTTATTTAATTTACCTATCAGATAATTTAAAAAAATTGTTAGTCCCTCTCTCACAGAGAGATAAGCGTTACAGCTCTTCAATCATTTGCAACTACTTGATTGAAAAATGTTACTGTAAGTACTGAATATTATACACAAAAATTTGGCTTTATCAAACGAGAAGAGTGTTTAAAGCTTAATTAGTAGTCTGTGGTGAATTAATTCATTTATTCAGGCAACCTTAGCCGAATTAGTCACTTGGCACTCGAGACCACTATGTTGTCTATGCTGCCTGAGAGTCTGCAGAGAGCTTCCTGTTTTGAATGCTTTTTAAAAAAAGGGAATTGTATATGATTTATATAGTATTTAGAGTAGTCATTGATTCTATTTGGATAAATTTATTGGAATCTTGTTTCAGATTTTTTGTGTGGTTTCATGTAGGCAAAGATGGCAAAATGCAATTGGTTGGAATGGGTTGAAATACCATACATGACCATTGTTGGATGTGATGCATTCATTTATTTTCATCCTTAAAAAGTATTTTTTATTTGTTAAGACCAAATTGGCTGTCACTTGTTTGTTTTTTTTTTTGCTGTAGTAACCAGTGTCCCTGACATTGGCAGAGCTATTATAGTGCACCTGTTTGTGAATGTACAAAACATTGTAAGTACCTCATTGCTTTCTCTACTGTGAGCTTCTTATTTTCAAGCTCTGATGGGTTGACTGTAAGTAGAGGCATGGTTGAAAGAACCTCGTCTTTTTTCATCGTTTTTCGGCAAGACTGGTGATAGGAAATAAGCTAACAATTAATTTAAAAAAGGATGCACACAAACACAAACAGACAAAAGTCAGGATGTTTGTAAACATACATGGTAGGTAACTTATACTCTTCCTAGATATGGGAAAAATTTATACACTTTGTTACTCTTGCAATCCCAGAATTGGCCAGATTCAAGATTGGGAAAAAAATTCATAAGCAAATTCAAATTCAAATTCAAAAAACTGAGGGATAAATGCCATGTGTGTGAAAGAACTGTTAGACAGGATTCATTTTTTAGAAGTTAGAACCACCTAACAAGACTCAAAATTTGCCTTGGGAAAGAAAGCCAAAAGTCCTTGTTTTACAAGTTGTAGCAATGGGTTCTTTTTTTGGCTAGACCTGAGCAAAGAAACAGCTACTGCGACATGTATACATGTCGGTCCACATGGGCTAACCCACCCCAACCGCCGCAAATTTGGTAATTTTAAAATAAACAGTGAATATGTAAAGTTGAAGGTCAAATTATATGCACACTAACCTAAGTTGTCTAGGTTGTCTTGTTTTTTTAGGATTACAATGAGTTTATGTGGGGGATTTTTTCCCACCTACAGGGTTCGTTACCCTTTTTTGAACAGAAATTTCATTCAAGGACTTTCAAGGACACATTTCCCATTTTTAAGGACTCAATGTTACTTTCCACATGTGCCAATCAAGTTGGATATATTTCATGCTGTTCAGAGAATCATCAAAACTCTTCCCAAAGGAACGGTTGAAAGCCAAAAGTTTGCTAAAGAGGTGGGACTTCTGTTCCGCAGAGATGGTGACGTTGGGGAGGAGAGAATGTTCGCTACTCCTGATCCTGAATGCATTGAAAGCAACATGGAGCAACTACTTTTCAAATGGAAGGGCAAACTGTCTGTAGCTACTGTCAATGCGATTGAAAGTTTGAGACATCATGTGCGAAAAGGTTGCTTATCAGAGATACCTCCTTCTGCAGGAACCACTTTAAATGAACGCCTTCATAGGCATCTTAAACGATCAATGTTATGTGGTGCATCCTCCATTTCCCCTGAGCTGGCCTTGCCCATCCTAGCTCTAGTGCTTTATGTCTGGAGCTGTAGGCGCAGAGGATTGCAGAAACATGTTAACAATCAAAGAATTGTTCCAATTATTCCTTTTGAATTTGGAGATCTCAGTGAAAGAAGTCCCACTGACTCCTTGCTATTAAAATGCTCTGACAAAGGGCAGGATGAAAGAAGTGTAGCTAAAGAGCTCGAGGAAGAGAGCAGTGACAAAATATCATCATGGTATTTACACCATCATGTTGAAAATGTGAAAGATTTGATGAACGTCAGTGTGATAAATTATGCCTTAACTCGTGTTCTTCAAATGAGGGATTGTTGGACTTTCCTAAAAGAACAAACATCGCTCACCTTTCTTTCAATGCTTGACTTGTTTGGACTTGAGAGAAGCTTCATGAAGCTTTCAAAACAGCATACTGTAGAAGAGGAAACTACCGCTGGCTGTAACCGTGAAACGCTCGAACGTAATTTGGCTTCCTTTGGACTCTGCAAGATACCTGTAGCTGGGGATGGAAACTGCTGTTTTCGTAGTATAATTAAATGTCTTCATCATAAGTTTCTTGGAAACTCGGAAAATGATCATAATGACGACATATCTAGGTACACTGAGTTTATGAAAAGTCTTGGCCTTGGAATTAATGAAGATAAAGATGCCTTGCATTTAAGGCTCCTCATGTGTCAAGAGATTTCAAGTAAATCTGAAGAATATCAACAGTGGTTGGGTCTAACTGCAGAGCAGCTTTCTATTGATCTAAATTCATTTAGGCAACAAGGATGGTTTAACAGTGATGCTGGTGATATTGCAGTAAAAGTATGCAGCAACATTTTGCAGATACCCATCGTTGTCATAACCTCGTATCCACAAGCCCCATATCAATCCTTCATACCACCTAAGATGTCTTCTACTCATCCCCTTTATGTGGCATTCAATCATTCACTTCCTGGGCATTATGATGCCACAACAGGTAAGAACAAGGGAAATTCATTAAGCAAGTTATTTTGGTACACTCTTTTACAGGTGACAAAAGGAGCCCACAATCCTAATCTCCAGGTTGTTCTTACCCATGCATTGCATGGATTCATTTGGACTTCCACTATGACTGAGTAAATCTGTTGTGGTTCAATTTTATCTTTGGTTAAAATTTTCTTTACAATTGTTTTAAACTCACTATAATCACATGTTATCATTACCCCAAAACAAAGGAAAATAAAGTTTAAACCAAGGAAAGATTTGAACCACAACATGTATGTGTAACAAAACATTTTATGAGAATAATTTCCTTGAGGCTGAAATTTGTAAAATTATAGGGACCAGTCACTATTTATCACCTGGGGGGAGGGGGTCTAAGGATTTTGGGGGATCACTTGATTTTTAGGATAACAAAAGGGGGGATCAGTTGTAACTGAGAGCCCAAAAGGGGCAATTATTTGAATCGTTGGAAGGACTCAGAGGGGGCACTACACCAATTTGCTTGGACAACAAAGACATGGGGGGGGGGGATCACAAAAGTTATCAATAGCTATTCAAAGGGGGATCAGCTAAATTTCACTGTGTTTAGCCCCAAATCCTTTTGATTTCCAAGGTGATAAATACTGACTGGTGCCTTAAGAACATGATATGGGAAAAGCCAAGGCTGAGATTTTGAATCCGTGGAAATTCTGTAAATACAATCATATGTTTTCAACTTAGGGAACGCGTCCAAATATCGGTAGGGAACCCGATCATGGGAAACGGACCCGATTAATTTTCCGATTGATCGGAATCGGTACCGATCTATAGGCACCAGTTGCCGTTTCCGATTACGATAAAAACTTTGCCGATTCAATCGGAGCCGGTTGACATTCCGATGTTCATATGTGTCATCGTCATATTATTTTATCTGATATGTAAAATGAAGCGTGTCACGAAACCAAATAATGAAAAGAGTCGTTTCACTTCAAAGTAATTTCAATCGACTGTACCTTTTTCCTACTCCATAACAAATAGCAAAATTGTATGTTTCTGCATGTTGTGTTTCGAGTTTGTTGATTTGATACGTGCCTATACACGTGATTTTCGGCGTTTTGCAGAGGTATTTCCTTCAGTCGATCGCAAACACCACGCTGCTCCATAACATTTATTCTATGAAAATTAAAAGAGTTAAATATTACGACGCAAAACACCACTGTTCTTCGTTGATATATAGCAAACAAAACACCATACTGAGTAGTGTGTTCTTTACTCGATACTAATTTCTAACAATGCAATCCAAAACACGACCGGAACTCACTTTCTCGAAACACAGCTGGATTCATAGACTTGTTACAAGTAGACCTCAACGGGTTTCCTAGCGAGCGGAGCGAGAGCAAAACCATGGATAATGTAAAACTACGGGATAAACTTTTACGAAAATTTGCGTCTTTCATTCAACGATCCTAAACGCAAGGTGTAATGCGATCTGAGGCAAAAAATACCGACCAATTACATTGCGGCCTCAGATTGTCTCCAGGGAATTGGCAACAGGAGCTGAGAGATTCCCACACTCGCGAGTCACGGAAGACACGGAACGAAGTTTCATACAGGAGCTACCAAAGAGAGAATGGCTTAGCGACTTTGCTGTATGTTCTGTGAGCTTGAGCATGGTGCCACGTGAAATTGCTTTCCACTCTCAGCACTTCGAAAAATTTGCGCTTGACTCTAGGTGGCTGACTGTTTGACAAAAATCAGAACCTATTTTACCGGAGTGTTCAACTAAAGTAAACTGGCATACATCCGGTAAGTTCGACTCAATTTAATAGCGGAAAGACAATCGAGAAAGAGAAAACCAGTTGAACGCCTCCATCGGTCACTTTTTTGAGTTCATATGCAACCAGTAAACAACTTGCAGCTTGATTCTCAGACGATGTCCTCTTCTCTCCTGTGGCAATTTAGCAGTTAAAGTACACAACATGGTAACAACATTTTGCATTTTGGTCGTGGATGTTCTGACTTTTATTTTTTCGTTTACAGTCC